AAACACAGTTATTTTATTACCAAGAATGAATTTTAAAAAAAAGTTGGAGGGGAATTCAAAGGGTTTTTCCTGCACTTCCTGTTGGAAACTGTCACTCTTATTATGACAAATTTTCCAAATAGCATTTCTCCTCAGCTAACAGCAATACCAGATCTTCCTCCTCCGTATCCTCTATCATCATCTGAAAATTTAAACATCCACTTTGCCAGCCCTGCTCTCGCTCTGTTCTGTGTGCTCCAGTGGGAGGGAGTTTCTCTTTAAAATGTCCGTGCGAAAAACCACCTCTTACAACCATGTTAGTGAGATTGGACATCTTGCCTCTTGTAACATATAAACGACGCTTAAGTTGATACATTGATCTCTGCTTCTTGACATGATGTAACATTGCTAATATTGTCTGCATTAAATTGTGAAAAATGTCAAACATGGTTTCTTATCTGTTGTCTCCAAAACTTTTTTTTGTCTAGTTACAAAGCTTTGTGCTCCTCCACCATGTTACAGTAACAGTATTGCAAGAGTGCTGTACCTCTCTTTACATTTTCTCTACTTTTTTTTCTCCTTTTTGGGGGTTTTACAACAGTTGGATGCATGCTGTCTGCCTGTGACCAGACAATCTGTTCCTACTAACCAAATTCACACAATTTTGACGAAGCTGTTTAGTTGACTGTGAATCTGCTGCAGTGTTTTGTAGTAAACCAGTTTTAACTCTGGTGTCTGTGGTGACACTCCAGAACTATTTTATGCTTGCCAAATTTGAGGAGGATAGCAACAAAGACCAAAATAGAACTGTGTTGGAGCCTACTATAGAGATATTAAGATTTAAATGCACTTTTTTTAGGGAAGTTGGTAGTTTGTGGAATTTGTTACATCCAGTTCACATCACATTCAAACATCTTTACATGCATAATATACAGTAAAACTTGAACTTCAGGTGTAACAAGAAGAAAGACATACATTTTAAATAAGGGAGTTTAAATTTGTCTTAATGCCCACTTTTCCTCTGTTTCTCATTCTCCAACAGATTGCAGTAATGACAGTCACACTATTCCCCATTCGTCTACTCATAGCTGCATTTATGATGCTACTGGCATGGCCGTTTGCCTTCATTGCCTCAGTGGGGCGCTCCGAAACCACCGTTGAACCCCAGTGCCTCTGGAGAAGGTGCATCTTTTGTATTTATTTTTGTATGTGTGGGTCTGTCTGAAGAGTGTTTCTGAAGAGTTACTTTGTGAAACAGTGTATATCTTATCAATACGTTAAAAAAATGAAATTCTCATTCAGCATATTTCGTTTTTACAGAAGGTTAGGAACCAATAACTGTATTGTCAAAGCTGATGCTGATATTGATAGAAAGTCGCATGGCTTAAATTCTCTTTTAATATGCTTATTATGAATGAGTAAGTGAGTGTGGTGCATGCTATTATCTATCATCCTCTGTTGTCATAGATTAAGGGTTCAGGAGTAATGATACTTGAGCTTTTTTTTTTTTTTTTTTTTTTTACATTGTGATTAAAATTGTGTTTGTTGTTTAAAAATCTTGTTTTCAGGGTGGTGGACATTATTCTCAGAGTCATCATGCGGGCCATGTGGTTTGCCGGAGGTTTTCATTGGATGACTGTGAAAGGGCAAAGGGCACTACCTACAGAAGCACCTATCCTGACCCTGGCCCCCCACTCATCTTACTTTGATGCCATTCCAGTTACAATGACAATGTCCTCGATTGTCATGAAAGCTGAGAGCAAGGATATACCTCTTTGGGGCAGTAAGTGAAGAAGCATTAATTTGTCTTTACATGATTTGTTCAGTCTGAATGAAACATGATTTATTTGTTTATTGTTTTTAGTGCTGTACCAAACGATTATTTTCTAATCGATTAATCTCACGATTATTTTTTCGATTAATCGATTATTATAACAACAAATCTATAAGTTATTCTGATGTGAGTGCACTGGA